TAAAAATATTTCTAACTGAACGATAATGAGAATATGACATATTAAAATATATGGAAAGCACATAGAGCAGTACCTGGACCTGAAAATTAAGTGACCATTTTCCAACTGAGTAGAAATAAACAACAAAATAAGCCCAAAGAAAGAAGTTAGAGCAAAAAAATAGTATGATAGGACAACAAAGAAATGATATTGAGGCTGGACACCAAAATTTGGTTCTTAAGGCAAATCAATCTCTGGTAAAAGTGACCTACGAAAACAAGGCACAATGAAAATACGATCATGGAAAATACTCACTGAAGATATTAAAAAAGATAATATATGAAAAATATATCTTAATAATCTTAAAACAATGGGCAAATCCGTAAAAAACAAATAAAAATGATAACCTATCAAAGTTGTCCTAAGAAGAAATAGCCTGAAAAATTTAATCAATGCTTAAAATCATTCATAGATTCATCCATATCCATCCCTTTCAGAGAGTAGAAAAAGAGAACACACTACCTGATTGTGGGAAAGTACTATTAAACTTTGATAAAAGCTAGACACACACAAAATTTGTAACATAACATTCAAAGACAAAATTCAGATTTGAAAAAAACAAAAAATACTGGGTTCTAAACCAGGAATGCAGGAGCTATTTAACACTGGAAAAATTATATAGCTCACCTTATAAAAATACCATTTAACCACCTTGATAAATTGGGGAGGGATGAGCATTTAATAAAATTAAACCATTCACGGTTAATAAAAATCTCAAAGAAGGAAAAATTTAAAACTGATAGAGGTTTCTATGAAGAATCTACTGCACACTTCCTACTTCAATGCTGAAGAAATTAGGTATGTTCCTTTTAAAATCAGCAACACAAGAATGCCTGCAATTACCACTTTTATTCCACACAGTACTAGAGTCTCTAGATTGTACAACACACAAAAAAAGAAAGTAAAAAGTTTAAAAACTAGAAAGGAAAAAACTGTGTGTGTGTGTGTGTGTGTGTCCCCGTCCGTCCCCATACTTGCAAACTGAGTTTCCTTTAGGAACAGGTTTTCTTTGTTATTTAATGAGGCCATACTTATCAGTATATGGTGTGTCTTAAACTAATCACTTCTGAGATATACAGAGAGGAGACCAGGCACAGAAAAAAGGAAGAACATATGGAGAAAGATTGATATAAGATCACCAAGGAATGGAGGTACCAAGGAAGAGAAGGTGAAAAGAGATGATTTTCCCTGAGCCAACAGAGACCATTCCCCTAGAACTGGAGCCCTAATTCAGAGTCTTCTAAGCCGTGAGAAAACAAATGTTGTTTGTTAAAGTCACTCACTCATGTTGTTTCTGTTATAGCAGTACTAAGATGGGGCAATCTACTTCCGCAGTGATACTGCCTCGGTAACCCAAGGAGGGGTCGCTATGAGTCAGGTCTGACTCGACGGCACATAACAACAACAAGAAGCAACTAAGCACTGTTACTCCAAGATAATGAAATCTCCATAGAAATCCCACAGAATATATACAAAAATGAACAAATAAGATCACTATTTAAATCAATCACCTTTCCAGATACACAACACACAGAAAAGTACTGAAAGAATACCACTTCCAACACCAACAAAAAAAATAATAATCTAGGAATATATCTAACAAAACATGAGGATGGAGTTATGCAGTAAATTGTGTGTGTTCCCCACATGGCTCCCCTGCCACGCCCCAAAAAAGGTACACTGAAATATTAATCCTGGAACCCTGTAAATCTAACCCTTCTTTGGAAGGTAAAAGACCCACTTCGAAAATGTGATTAGTTAAACTAACATATGATTTTACTGGAATAGTAGTAGTTGTTGTTAACGCCTTCGAGTTGGCCCCGACTCATAGCGACCCCCTCCTTGGGTTTCCTAGGCAGTATCACTATAGAAGTAGATTGACCAACCTTCCTTCCGAGGAGTGGCTGGTGCGTTTGAACCGCCAGCCTTCTGGTTAGCAGTCAAGTGCCTTAGGCACTAGGCTACCAGAGCCCCTCCAGTAAGACTGGTTTCCTTATAAGAAAAGACACAGACACACAGGAAGATGGCAGAGACTGGAGTTATCATTTACAAGCCAAAGAATGCCAAGTATTATTTCACACTACCAGATTGGCAAATTTTTGCCTAAATCTGACAATATCAAGTACTTTTGAGTATGTGTATCAATGGGAACTCACTGTTATTGTGGGAAACTGGTACAACCAATTAAGAAAAAACAGTGTGTCATGTCCTGTAAAGCCAATCACGTGCATATATTATAGTTCAATAATACATTTCTAGATATACAACTTAGAGAACATCCTTTACATGTGCACCAGGAGATATGTACAAGAATGTTCACAGTAGGAACAATACTCAATCATAGGGATCTCTTTATTTTTTACTTATTAAATTCAGCTTCTAGAACTGACTTACCACTAACCAAAACAGGTATCAAATATAATCTGACTTATGTATAAACCTTCGTATGGGGAAATAAAACTTCACTGGTGTTTTATCAGTTGGGTTAATTTTTCCTGAACTGAGGACTTCCATCTTTGGATTTGAGGATAGTAGAGGGTAGTAAGGAGCTGTGGTAGCGTAGTGCCTAATGTATTTGATTGCTAACCAGAAGGCTGGTGGTTCAAACCTACCAGCCACTCCTTGGAAAGACGATTGAAAGACGATTGAACGATCTACTTCCATAGTGATACCACCTCAGAAACCTAACAAGTGGTCACCATGAGTCAGATCCGACTCAACGACAGTGACTAAGAGGGTAGAAGAATGGCCCACAGAATTATAAGATGCTCAGCAATTTAATAACACTTACGGGAGCTTGAAGCAAGGGGGGAGTGGGGAAAGACAATACAGGGTTTGGAACAGGCAACCAGGCAGCATTCCAGCTATCCCAAAAGGTACTATGAAGAGGAGCTCTCAGGGGTGAGTCAATGATCACCCCTTCTCATACCAGATTCTGCACTGAGTCATTACCAGGTACACTTTTCAGTTCCTTAGCAAGGTGACTATCCTGGGAGGTGTTTACCCCCAAGTGAAGGAGCATGTGTTCCACAGGTTATTTACATGTCCTAACCACATCACCAAAGGTTATTTTTGGACTTAATGATACACTACTGAGATGCTTCTTGGACCTCAGTACCATGTAATGTCCAATAAAGGGTCACCCATATTTTCTAACGTATCTGGGTTTCTCAGTGCTGCAGAAAACCTATTCTCCTAACATTTAGTTATGTGTATGATACTGATAGGGAATGTTTGCTTTCACTGTTTGCTTTCATTTCCCCCAGAAATATTTTCACATACCCTAGGAATTCAATCTGTAGCCATTTATCTAGTTAACTGCTCTGATCTAAGGATATAAAACTTCTCCGAGGTCTCTGAGAGGGCCAAGTAAGTACAGCATGGGGGCTAGAAGTTACAGCACAGAGTGTCTCCACATTAAGCCCCAAGATGCCAGGAAGATTAATCTCCTGAGGTATTCACATCTCAAGGAAGAATAAATTTGGAGAATATGACTGCTAACCAGAAGGCTGGCAGTTCAAACCCACCAGCCACTCCTCAAAAGGAAGACTGGGTAATCTACTTCTGTAGAGATACTACCTTGGAAACCTAAGGAAGGGTTGCTATGAGTCAAAATCGACTTGATACTTGACGGCAGTGAGGTTTTTTTTTTTTTGGTTTAGGTTTACTTAGGGATATCTGGCTCCTGAAGAGATTTTATTTACATACCAAAGACTTAGCGCTAGTATGTCAGGCCAGTTACATTATTAAGGGACTCTTTAAAGAGGAGGGAGAGACCACTGCCTCCTTCCTCCTGACAAGCAAAGAAAAATCATTTTTTCTCATCCATTACCTATGAAGTACAGTGCCCTAGGGGTAAGGACTAGTAGGGCAAAGTGGGACCAACACAATTATCTACTGTGAGGAACTTAGTAAGCAATCTCTGATCCAGAATATCCTGTGTGTATTTCAGGATAAAATAAATATAGATATTAAAAACGCAACATTCTCAAGCAAAAATGGTTGAACTTAAAGAATGTAATCAGTATCACCAAACTGTACACATAGATATTGATAAAATGTTTTATGTGATGTTCTGTGTGTGTTATTAAAAAAAAAAAATTAACAGTGAAGAAAAAAACCTCTCCAGTGCATCTCCGTTCTCATGAAAACTATGAAGAAAACATGTTTGCAAGAAAAGGAGTAGCTCATACAAAATACCTAGGTTTATGACATGTGACAGTGTTATCGTTGTGGAATCCCAGTGTTCAGGAAGATCTGGGATGTCACTATACTTCTTCATTTTGGGAAGACCCAGTCCTCCTTGAACCTAATATAATACATGCTCAGGTAAAGAACAAAATGCCAGTATCCTCCCCATCCTAATTCTCACTATTAGGAACTGAACAGATATTTACTTTTCTGATAAACTCACCATCCAAATTCTGAATATTCACTCCCTGAAAGTTAAAACCAAAGAGATTTTGGTAACTCAATATATAGCCCTACATATCCAAAAGCACTAACTAAACTTTCACCTTCTGAACTCAGGAACTAAAAAGATTTTGATGATGGGAAATATTTATATCATAGGCTTTCTAAAGAAAACAAGAAATGTAAATATAAAAGTACTGCATATGTAGTGAGCTTGTGTGTGTGTATACACACATCTGAGTAACTCCATTTATCATTCTGTGTAATTCAAAACAGAGTCTCCTTGTTACATTCACTACTTAACTATTTGTAATTTGGGTAAGAAAACAATACTCAATATCCATAATCAGCAAGTACAAAAAAGATAACTCATGGGATAACTGGTCTGTAGAAGGTCTAGTATGGTGGCCAAAAAGATGTATCCCAGATGCTATAGTAAAGCATTAGTAAAAGACAAAAATAAAATGAATTGAAATATTAGTACGATCACTTATAAATACGCGTATTTATAAGGGAGAATAAAGAACATTTTGAAAGTTTTCACTTACAAGTTTTTCTCTCTCTAGTTTTTGTAGTAAACTCTCCATATTACTTCCAATTCTTGTCTTTTCTACAACTTCATAAAGGCTGCAATACATTCCATTCTTCAAAACTGCCATAAAAAAAAAATATACAGTAACTATCCAAGTTGAGATTGTTCTTATATATTTTAGCAATATTAAATTACTTTACCTTCATTTGGACCTAAGTATATTTCCTTATAAAACAGTGCAGGAGGGATTTTCTGTTTCAGATGATCAATACTCATAACTGTTTCAACATCTAACTTCTCAGGACTGGAAAAAAGGGGGAAAAAAAAAAAAAGCATGTTTGCCTTTGCTGTGTTTCTAAATTTAGAAATGTTATCACCAAAAACGTATACTCGATAGAAATCAGAAAAGCATTTTTAGCCCCTCTCATTCTAAAGAGGATTCAACATGTGAAGTCCAGAGATATACACAGATAGCTTAACAATATTACCAACCTTTCACTTTAAGCCAGAAGGTATTCCTACACGCCAATTATACTAACCACACAGGTTGTTTTACTAACAACAAAGGCTGTCACTTTATTAAAGACAAATTCAATTAAGTGTTAAAATAATCTTCAAACACCCCCCCCCCAAAAAACCCACTGACAACGAATCAATTCCAATTCATATCGACCCTAATTCCAACTCATATTGACCCTACGGGACAGAATAGAACTGCCTCATCGCATTTCTAAGGCTGGTGGTGTATGCCTAAGGCATGTGACTGCTAACCAGAAGGCTGGCAGTTCAAACCCACCAGCTACTCCTCAGAACCAAGAGTGGGCAATCTACTTCTGTAGAGATACTGCCTCAGGAACTCAAGGAGGGGTCGCTATGAGTCGCAATCGACTCAATGGCAGTGAGTTCGGTTTTAATCTTTACAGAAGCTGACTGCCATATCCTTCTCCCTCAGAGCAGCTGGTGGATTTGAAACACCAACCTTTCAGTTAGTAGTTGATCACTTAACAACTGCACCACCAGGGCTCCTTTTAAGTACTTACAAAGGCCCCTAGTATTTACTAGGTGTACACAAAAAGAATTTTCCACTCTCCTACTGGAGCTCTGGTGGCATAATTCCTAAGGCATTTGAGTGCTAACCAGAAGGCTGGTAGTTCAAACCCACCAGCCACTCCTCAGAAGGAAGACTGGGCAATCTATTTCCATAGAGATCCTGCCTCAGAAACCCAAGGAGGGGTCACTACGACTTGGAATCCATGTGACGGCAGTGAGTTTAGTTTTGTTTTTTTTTTTCCTTATTGTAACACAGAGTAGCCCTGATGGAGCAGCGGTTAAGTACTCAGCTGGTAACTGCAAGATCAGAGATCTGAATTCACCAGCCCCTCCACAGGAGAAAGATCTGGCAGTTGGCTTCCCTAAAGATTGCAATCTTAGAAACCCAGGGGGGAAATTCTATGCTAGAGTAGGAATCCACTTTAAGGTTTTTTAACTGTCACATATGCTTAAACAGGACTGAAAACAGCTTATATATTTTAACAACTTATTATTTATCAAAAGGAAGGTTGGGCAATCCTACTTCCGTAATGATACTGCCTCGGAAACCCAAGGAGGGGTCGCTATGAGTCGGGTTTGACTTGACGGCACATAACAACAACAATAACAATTATTTATCAAAGCTTTTTCCAACAAATTACTGGTAACTTTTAAGTTTATCATGTTCAAATTAGTGTATGAAAAAAAAATTCAGTTAGGATATAACTTTCAGAATTTATTTTTAAGATTTAAAAACACTAAGAAAAAATTTTACGCCATATAAGTGTATGATTATTTACTTCATCCTACAGAGAAATATAAGGAGCCCCGGTAGCATAGTGGTTGGTTACAGTGCCTGGCTGCAACCTGAAAGGTCAGCAGTTAGAACCCACCAGCTGCTCCTAGGAGAAACATGTGGCAATTTGCTCCCATGAAGATTTACAGTTTTGGAAACCCTACAAGGCAGTTCTCCTCTGCTCGACTCTACAAGGCAGTTCTACTCTGTCCTATAACGTCACTATGAGTAGAAATCTATTAGCCACCAAGGGGTTTGGTTTTTTCTTTCCCCCTTGTTACACAGAAACAAAGGGCTCATTATGCCAATAAAGTTTTCAAAGTTATCAAAGTGAACTTTTTCTAAAAGCACATTTATATTTAAGTTCTTTAAATATATAAAAGGAAATTAGAAAAAAAGCTAAGAAGAAATTGCTAAAATTAGCAACCATCAATTGCTATTTTATCATGTAACATACTTACAGCTTGATAGGCAAAAAAGCACGAGTGGCTGACCTCAGAGAAATGTAACACAAAAGCTTTCCTTTATTTAAAAGCTGTCCTTTCCACAAAGTATAGTTAAATTTATCTAAATAAAAAGAATAATGACCCAGTTCAGTCTCATGGCAACCCAGAAAGACATATACAAATTTACTAGAAATAAGTGGAAAAACATCTAGAAATAATGCTTAAGTAGGAAAACATAAAATAAAGTAAAATTTGACATTTACAGAAGAACTCAAATATCAGGATTTTGTTACAGGTATTTTCTTTTCCCACAGAAAATCACTGCTGCTCCCAAGAATAATAAATTTACCTAAATGTCCTCATATCAGAAACCTGAAGAACAAAGATGGTATCTTATTCCTTCAAAGACTACATTAAAAATGGTTAACAAAATACCCCTAATGTCTTGTATCTTCTAATAGCTTTCTTTTCATTGTAGAGAAATGTGAAGACAGTAAATGCCAATATTGCTTTTAATCTTCTCTATCTTACCTAAATCCTAAATGTCTCTGATGAATTTAATTTTAAAAAGGCTGAACTATGAAATCTATTTTATTTTTCACCTTTTTCAGTTAAAGCAGCAGATTTTCAAAGGAAATCTTATGCTAGGACCACCGAATGGTGACACTGTATTATAAACATGGCCTCAAGATTTTTTCTTCAAATTCTCATTCTTTATAAAAATAAACAAAGCACTTAACTTATTGATGTTTTACCATATGTATTTATTCTTTCGATTTACAAAATTAAAAGAGAAAAAACATAGTACGAATCTTACCTGTGTTTCTATCTGCATTAAAGCTATTAGATCTACAAATAAATTTTTGAAAAAGAAAAGTATTACTAACAACATGAAAGTGAACATTCAGGGCCTTGATATAAGTGCATTTTTAATACTGCCTACATTTAAGGAAGCCACTTTAAAAAAAAAAAAAAATCCAACAGAACAGTTCTTTAATGTCTCTTTCAATTACTGTATTTTGCTGACGAATCAAAAACAGCCTCAATATATATCTAAATGTATTCATTCATTCAATTAATATTTACTGAACTACAGGCACAGTCCTAGGTAACAAGGTTAAAGGGGAGAACAAAACAAAATTCCAGCTTTTGTGGAGCTTATGATCTAATAAGAAAGACACAACCGAAAATAAATATATAGTTTACTAGATGATTATGGTTTTAAGTAGTATGGAGATAAATAGAGAAAGAGACATAAGAAGATATGCCTTTTAAAAAAAGGAAACACGGATGCCATCGATGCTAGAAGGAGCATTAAAAAGATCTCAGGGAAGTGTGGGAGTGAACTATGTAGAAAATTGGGGAAAGTGAGCAAATAGCAAAGGCAGAGATCCTGAAGCAGGGGCATTCTGGGCACACTCAAGGTACAGCAAGTATATCTAATCAATGCTTGTTTTAAATATTATGGAGGTCAAAAGATGGCATCAAAGAGGAGGCAAAGAAAATTAACAGGTAAGATTCCTGGGAATATAATCTTATGACCATTAAGTGACAAACGTCTTTTAAAGATCACTTATGAAAGGCACTGTACTAAATGTACCTATCATGGGAATCATAAATATTATCATGAAAAAATGAAAAATACAACTGTCTTGGTATTATGTGGACTGGTACTTGTAGCTGTGGATGGTTTCTAGTACTATTCACCAGCATAAAAAAAAAGTATTATATTTCAAGCAGCTTAAATGGAAGAAGAGGATGTGATCCAAAAAATGGATAATGAAGTCAATCTCAAAAATCTAAGTATTTGATGAAATGTGGCTTTTTAAAACAACAGTATTTCTAAATTAATAGATAATACATATGATTTTAAATATGTGTAAGTAACTAAATTGAAAATAAGTAGTTATTTCAACATCTATGTGAATTCACACATCCAATTTGGTCAAACATTTTCTGGAATCACCACTTGAAGAAAAGGAAAGGTAACTACTTTGTATCTGGTCACCTTATATTAGAGCTTATAAGAAATGTAACAACGGTACTCTTGGAAATCAGAACTACCTGGAAGCTTTTAGGAACTACTAAAGCCTAGTCTCCCCTCTAAATACCTGATTTAATTAATCTGAGGTGGAGCCTGAGGAGCTTTTGCAGAATCTCATTCTCAGCAAAGTTAATGAACACCTAAAATTTCACTTCTAAAAGCTACACTTCTAAAAACTGAACTTACAAACTTTCATATACCAAGAAAAAGAAATTAACCAGATAAAGTTTAAGTAAATTTTAGTTTGTATTTCCATGTAGTCAAAGTATCTATCCTCCACAATGACTTTTTTTTAAACAGTCATTATGAACACTCAAATATCTAATTAAGACAAATTTAAAAAATGAGGAGGAAAAAAAAAAACGTTCTTCTGAGCTCATAAGAACAGAATATATACAAAATACCTCTGGATGTTGTCCAAACTTATATAAGTCTTACCGTGATGAAGGTATAAACTTCGGAGTTTGTATATCATCTTTGTAATGAAAAGACACAACTGCATATGGACACACATGTCTTGGTCTTCGCCTTAGCTCATCAAAGCCATACTCATAAAAGTAATACTGAAGATAAGAAATACAAGATTAACTTAAACTTTAAGAAGGTAAAAAGTACAGAGTGGGAACATTACATTTACCTATCTTATTTTTGTAAATATGTAATTTTTGCTAAAAATCCCCAATAACAGATCTTCCACTGAGACTGTTCAAGAAGAAAGGAGCAAGAGCACATTTGATTTTTTGTAAATCAAGTATTTAGGGGGGAACCACTTTTCAGGGAGGTTAAAATCTACTTTTCACAAGCAATCCATTAAGATATATACATTTTTTAAAATGTCTGTTAAGAAAAATGTTATTTAAGTACCACTTATCAATTTAACTAAAATAATTTGCACTGTATATTCATTTTGGAATAAGGAATATTCTGCTTCTATATACGTAACAAATTCCAAGGTATTAATAAACCCACTATCGTAAAGTTGATTGCAACTCATACAACTCTGTAGAAGAGAGAACTACCCCATAGATTTCTAAGGCTATACATCTTTATAGGAGCAGAATGTCACATCTTTCGCCCATGGAGCAACTAGGAGGTTTGAACCACTGACCTTCTGGGTGGCAATCAAGTGCTTAACCACTGCACCACCAGGGCTCCTGTAATTGGTATTCTAAAAAGTTTACTTTTGGGTTGGCCAAAATTTCCTCATAAAAATATGCTTAACCACATATGGGATCTAAATGCAACAATGAGTCTCAATTTGTTCAGAGCAAAGAAGAATGAAGAAAACCAAAGACAAGTGGAAACAATTAGTCCAAGCAACCGGTACAACATGCAATCCTCAGCCTATATGACTATGAGACCAGAAGAACGAGATGGCACCCAGCTACCATTGGCAACCACTCAGAGGGGGATCTATGTAGGAGATCCTGGATGGAGTGAGAGAACAATATAGAACAAAATTCAGTATTATTTTTTAAAAAATGGGAGGAGACCAGGTTTGCTGGTCTGACAGAGCCTGATGGGACCCCTGAGGCTATGGCCCCTAGCTGCCCTTCAGGCCTGGAATTGAACCCACTCCTGTGGCTTCCAGCCAAACAAAAGACCGACATATGAGATGAACATTTACATTAGGTAGATAGACTAGTTGGAGAGATCAATCATGGGAGAACAGAAGGGCTGTGTATGCACAGGGAGACAGCTCAGGGGGCAGGAGTGCATGGAGGGAAGGACACAGGAAGAGATTAACTATGGGGAGGAAGTGGGAAGGGAGCTGTTGCACTGTGGGAAACTGCAGTCAACGTCATGAGACAAAGTGTATGTGAGTTGCTGTACAGAAAGTGAATTTGCTCTGTAAAAAAAAAAATGTTACAAATGGGGCCTAAGTTCCCAGGTCAGCCCACAGAAGCCAACTCCATGTGAAAAGTATCTCAAAATAAACTAAGAACACCATCTCAACCAAACCTAATTACCACGTAGCTCATAATTTCCAAAGAAAAACACATTCTGGGCTGCAACTGAAGACACAAAACAGCAAAGGGACGGTGGAAGAAAAGTAGAAACATAAGTGACAAAGGTAACTAACACTTTAGAGCACTTGCCTCTCCACTTCATTCATTTATACCACATTCATTAGGTTACGGTTTTGAAATTTTCCAACTATCTTTGAACTTGAGCCATAAAGAACTAGTCATTTTCATTTAAAGAGACTGCCTGAATTTACAAACAAAGGAGCATTGTCCTTCCAACTCCATTCCCCTGGGAAACTTTTGGTTTCAATAATATATGGCTGCTCTAAAAACATCTGGAAATTTTTGGGAAACTTTAAACCATTTTACAAGTGCTCCTAGAGAAACCAAGTTACTTTCTAGTTAGACTTTACATCGATCAATGATACTACTACCCAGAAGGAATCAATAAAGTCAGCTCCAGACAAAGTGGTAAATATATCATTTTTGCTACACATCCCCAATAGGTCTTCCACTGAGACTGTTCAAAAAGTAAGGAGCAAAAGTACATTTTATTTTTTTGTAAATAAAGTGTATTAAAAGAGGAAGGAAAAAAAAAAGAAAAAGAACATTTCCAGGGAGTTTAAATTCTACTTTTCAAAAGCAATCCAATAGAATACACACATTTTTAAAATGTCTAAAAAGAATAGCATTACTTTATGTTAAATTTCATATAAAAACATAACTAAAACTCATCAAATGTTACATTTTAAAATATGTACAGTTTACTGAATACCAATTACAACAGAGTAAAGTTTTAAAAAATTAATTCTAAGATAAATTTGTAACTTTAATAAAAACAAGACGTATCTATGAAATCAATAGAAAAAAAATTAAGAAAGAAGATATTCCAAAAGGATTCAATTTTACTTTTAAAGATAAGCAGAACATCTATACAGGAGCGGCTAAGGCTTCAAATGAAATAAGGTATGCTGAAGGCAGCAGTCATGTAGGTTGTAGCTCACAGTCTACAAGCAGGGAGAGCTAAACCAAGGAGACTGAATGACACTCTGTAGGCCTGAAGAGCTACTGTACATTTCTGACCTGTTTTGGAAACACTGAGTAAACAGCAGCATGAGACAATGGAGCATGAGACAATGGAGTCTAGAAGGCACCTACCCAGTCATGTGCAGAAACCAGAGTCTAGACTAGTATGGTGACAAAGAACTAAAATGGGGACATTTTCAAGAATTTCATGAGAAACAGATAGAAGAGTATAGCTTTGAAGTGGATTCAGGCACCTACCTGAGTAAGCTCATAGGCCCTGTAAGCCAAAAGTGACGTAACTCTATTGGCATTCTTCGACATGTGACATTCATGCTTTGGTGTTGGGTCCAAAGCACTTTTATTTAATATAGATTCCAAACTTTTTACCCCCATGGGGTCATATATACTCTTTATTCTACCCTAAAATAGAAAAAAAACTGTTAAGTTTCCACCCAAACCTAATTATTGGCTATATAACATTACTCTTCCCCTTTCAATATAAATTATCTATACCAATAATTTTCCCCCTTATACTTGGTAATAAAGCAAACTCAACACTTTTTACCAATATTGAAGCAGCAATCACAAGATTGGGGAAAAAAAAGTTATGTGAATTTGTTTATTAACAATAAAAATTCTACTGACAACACTTTTCACTAAACTAAATTACATTATCAATCATATTCCCCTCTTTCATTGTTTTCTTGAAAATTCTTCTGATAATACTTTTCATTAAACTAAACTACATTATCAAAGATATTCCCCCCTTTCCTTCATTCTTTTCTTTGGAAAGAAAAACTATTAAGTTATTTAAGAATTATTAGCTTAAGATCATAAACTACTCTCAAAAGGATCTTAATAATAAAAAAACTAATCACCAATTTTATATGGAAAAGATAGAGACGCCCAGATAAGCAATGTACTACTCCAGAACAGTAACAAAGTAGGAGGCCTCACACTCCCTGATCTCAAAACCTACAAAAAAGTCACTCACAGTAGACCAACAGCCTGGTTTTGGTACAAGAGACACATCAATGAACAGAACTGAAAACCCAGGAGTAAATCCTTCCATCTACTGACAAGCTTATCTTCAACAAAGGGCCAAAATCCATCAAATGAGGAAGAGATCATCTCTTTACAAATGGTGCCAGGAAAACTAGATATCCATTTGCAGAAAAAATAAAACAGGATCCATACCTCACATCATGTACAAAACTAACTCAGAATGGATCAAAGGCTCAAATATAAAATCTAAAACTACAAAGATCAGTAAAGAAAAAACAGGGGGTAATGTAGGGGTCCTGATTTATGGCATAACTACTCTATTAAACAAAGAGCTCTGGTGGCATAATACCTAAGGCATTTAACTGCTAACCAGTAATTGGCAGTTCAAACCCACCAGCAACTCCGCAGAAGGAAAACTGGACAATCCACTTCCGTAAAGATTTACCACCTCAGAAACGCAAAGGGGGCCACTATGAGTCAGAATCAACTCGATGGCAATGAGTTTGGTTTTTGGAATCTGATCAAACCTAACTAAAAATGCACAAACAGCAAAATATAAACTAAGTGACTAGGACTTGCTAAAAATTAAACACTTAGGAGCATCTGAAGACTTTGCCAAACAACATGAAAAATGTCATCAGTGTCTCTGAGTTGTAAATGGGGAAGGTGCTATATTGACAAATGCCTTGTGTATGTTTTCACCACAATAAAAGTGAAGAGAAAAAAAAAAAAAAAAGACTTTGCCAAAAGAGTTAAAAAAGAGAACCTAGAGACTGGGAAAAATTTTTAACCAACAACTTATCTGACAAAGGATTAATCTCTCAAATTTATAGAAAACATCAACAACAAAAAGACAAAACAATCCAATTAAAAAATAGGCAAAGAACATGATCAGACTCTTCACCAAATAAGACATTCAGGCAGCCAACATATACATGAGGAGATGCTTACGACCACTGTTGTTGTTATGTGCTGTCAAGTCAGACCCGACTCATAGCAACCCCTCCTTGGGTTGCTGAGGCAGTATCACTACGGAAGTAGATTGCCCAACATTCCTTCCAAGGAGTGGCTGGTGGGTTTGAACCGCCAGC